ATCGAAACTTATCTACCAGTCCAGACCCCGTTTCGAGCAACCCAAGGGGACCAAGTTATTAAGTCGTAGCTTGGAGGAATGGTAGGGCAAAACCCCTCCTTTTCGGGACTTTAGAGTGTAGCTGGCAGGACGACTGCTCCCGAAAGTAAATGTCTTCGAAGTCGCCTCTGTCCCGTGACCCGTTGGCAGACGTGGCACTGCAGAGCATGTCGAAAGTGAAGATGGCAGAGCCCGGATTCGAGTCCCGTTTGGCGTCCCGAATCTGCAGTCCAGTCGTGTCGATCGGGGATAAGAATGCCTGTTGGGAGAGAAGGCTAAGGAAAAACAAGTGGCTCGAAAGACAACGGTTCGACTCCCGTTGGCAGTGCTGACGCAATGACGAGATGAGGCTCGAGCTGTAGCCGAGGTGGGAAAAAGAGAACATTTTGAGAGGCGTAGTGCCGGGGGATTGCATGAAGAATCCAGCCTCCTCTCCCGTTCGTAAAGACTTCACTCGCTGTTGCGTCCTGTCGCAACAGGCCACAAACAACGTCTCTTGCCAGTCGTCGAATCAGCAGTGGCAGCATCATCTACATTCGAATCTGATGGAAAAAAGCCACCGAACAGTGTTCATTGAGATCAGAGGAAAACAAGCCTACCGGCCGAAATCGAAGAGATGTGGTAACAATATGACTGTAATGATATTAAATCAGTGAGTATAATGTGACGTCAAGGCAGGGTAGCAACAAGTAAGTGTTAAGGGTTGCGAAAATGGAAATAAATCAACCGATCCATGCATAAAGCTAGCGGTTGTCAACAGATCTTGTTATACACCACTCGCCAGGTCACTGGATCATGTGGCAAACAAATCGACAGTCCAACAGACGAGCATAAAGAGCTGAGGCTTCTACGGATGGACCAATCAACGGATCAGCAAATTGGCTTTAATGTTTGACACATCAACACACTGTCTCAATGACGGAGCAACATGGCTCAAAAGAGTGGTTGTAGACACGAAGAGTGGGTGAGTTTCAGCACCAGCCATAAAATTATTGCAAGCTTTGCAGGCATCATGGCATAATTAAACAGACGAATGGTTCGAGATGTTGATGGATTACTTTTTCGATCAATTGGGATATCAACAATTCAGCGGATCGTCTATCTTGCCACAGATAAACACGATAGCGAGCAGATCAGCAGAGCATCAAATCACCGATTCGACCGATAAACATAGCTACAGATTAACAGACCAGTTGAGAGATCAATTGATCGACAAATCTGCAGACTGAAAGGTAAACATATCACTCAGTTTACCGTTTACATCATATATCGAGTCGTTATTCACATAAATGGCCTTAAACTTGTGAGGTTGAGTGTAGGAAAGACGGTCCGAGGACGGTTGTGAAGCCACTTTTCGCATGAATGACGACGCTCTTTTAAGCTCACTTCCATTCAGCATCATGATTTTAATTTATTATCCTCTCCCTAACCCCGCCACATTTCTGTCAGCTCCCCACCTCATTACAACTATATTCTGACAAAGTTTTCGCTACAGCGGAAACACACATATAAGTTCAACTCACATCTGCCACTTGTTGCCACAGTCTGCTCAACAGATATTCACAGCATTTGCACCACAATTAGACCACCTCTCCTCCATATCCCATTTCTACAAAATTCACACAACATTTTCATCTCAATCAAGCCAACTGCCCATCACTTTCGCACCATATTCCTTTCACGTTCCCACACCATTTCCACCACAGTTCCATTAAATTTCATACAAATTTCCAACAAACTTTCATTGCATTCCAAACACTTTCTAGCGATAATATTACAGCATTTTCATCGTAATTAGTCCACATCCACACAACTTTTTCATTACATTCACAACAAATTCAGATAATATTCCCACCGCATCAGCAAATGTTGTGGTTCAACATTGAACCTAACCCAAGCAAGCAGTACCACAACATTTTTGAGTTGGCACACAAGAGACTATGGCATGGCAAGTCATAGACTTGGTATTAGGGATAGAAAAGGATAGACGCGGCAGCGATGGGAGCTAGTCGGCTGAGAGTAGGTTTTACAAGAGACGTGGTCCATGTGGCAAAGGAGTGACCATGACACTTACTCAAGAGCTTGAGCCCCGAATTATTCACA